AGTTTTAATTCTTCTATGAATTAAAACTTTTGCAACCCGCTGACGCGTGTTGAAATCGTCACCGTACTATTTAGTATTATTGAAGTTATCACTAACATTTTGACAAGATTTGCAAACTCTTCGTTTAGTTTAAATTTGCAAATTTAAAATTTGAATAAACTGATTTGTTTGTAAAAAATCTTTGACAAAACCCTACTTCGCGGTTGAATAATATCTTTAATTAAATTTAATTTTATAGCACTTCATATAAATATTTTTTAAGAAAATTTCTTTTTTTTTTCCTTTTTAACAGCGAAGAAAATTTCTTAGGGTTTTTTACTCTTGAGCATGCAACACACAACTGGCCATGCGCAAATATTTCTTTTTGTAGCCAGATTTCAACATTTTGAATCGATTTGCCTTGTGATTTGGTTATAAATCTCGCAAAGGCAGGGCGAACTCGAAACAGGATTCTTGTATATATAAAAACTTAAAGAAAAGGTATTCAGAAACTATATTGCAGTTATATTTACTAAGTGTTTGTTATTTTAATCATTAAATTGTTTTTTTTAATAGTGAGAGCATTTTGTGTGTTAAATAATAAAGCTTTTAATTTAAAAAAAATCAGAAAAAATTATTGTTCTGAACTACGCACTCTAATAAGATGAATTATACTTTGTACCCGCTTACTTGTTTGGATTTCCCCTAAAGTTTGGTTTCGATCGGTCAATGTATTGGCTATTTTAGAGCGTATGTTGGACGGACGAACTGTTATGGTCCAGGTTAGGACCAAGGAAGAACAACACGTACACAAGAGTAGAAATAACGAAGGTATATTACACGAAATAATAATACAAGATGTGGAAGGTGTTAGTATGACTGTCAGTTTGGTTTGGAGTGAACTACTATCGGCTCGACTCGATTCAGTATCTAGCCACCCCCACGAGGGTTGCATGTGGCACAAGGCCGAGTTTAACGTGGGTTTCCCGAGCCTGTAGGCTCGGCCAAAAAATGCCTGTAGAACCCGTATAAACGGGATCGGGTTGGTCAACCTCCCCGAACGAGACTCTGCCCTTCGGCGGAGCCACGTCCGGGTTCCTCTCTGCTCAGAGGCAGTGAGTTCGACCGTCAAGCCGAGCTTCTCGGCTTGATTCGTCCCTCTCTCTTGAGAGGCGTAGTATACATAGTGTTAGGAAGAGTTCATTCTGTAGTTATAGGTAAGGACCCATGGCACTAACAGAAGTCACGGAATTTTATATGTCGATTAATATTACATTAAAGTTAAATACTCATTTTTGTTTCTAACCTGAATTGTCTGTCTTAAAATTTTGTTTACTTTCTAGAAGATATCTTTCATTATTCCAACGCATTTCCAGATTTCTCTGTCATACATCCCGCCGTCTGTTATAACACTAATAAGATAATTAAATTTATGTACATAATTCATTTTGACGTCTCAAATTTGCAGCTCACACATTTGGTCTGTCCTCGATCGCTGACGACCAACAATCCTGTCTTCTTTTATGACGTACGGGAATGTAACATGGAAATAAACAAAATCACTTGTAAACAATATGCAAAGATAGCAAAAAGAATAATAGTGATAAATCTAAACTTTAGATAGAGATCAACATAGATTCGATAATAGCCGCCCTGAGTATGACGATAAACTACATCTGGCAAGCAGCGTCTCTAGTCAGGAGGCTTAACTGCTCTTCTTCCCAGATTCATCCTGACTCAGGCTGGTACCAAATAGTTAACCCAAAAACTGGGTTCAAAATACTATGAAAGTATAAAAAAATTATAGTAAAAATACCAGTAATACATTTTCATCGTAAAAAATTACCAGACATACATTTTTGTAAAAAAAAATATAACAAAATACTAACAATACATTTTTATAAATGATATCACTCCCATGAAAATTAAATTTCGACATTATATGGCCCATAAAGAGTTGATACACCACTAAACAAACAAAACCAAAAACAAACATTTTTAAAGAATCATTTTTAACCCAAGCAAGCCAATAAAGCCACTAAGATGTAAGGGGTTACTGATTGTGACAAAAATATGAGAAAAAGAAAAAAAAAACGTTATTAAAGGTAATAAAAGAACAGGAATATGGAGACAAGTGATCACGATTGATATTTCATTTTGTTAACTGTAAAGTAAGAGGCCAGAAGAGAGTTCCACAAGCGAGAAGTGCTAAAGAAGAAACTGTTAGCATAGAACTTACGGTTGCATCTAGCCATTTCAACAGTGAATTGATGAGACCTTTCAACCAATGTAGTACTACACTTAAGTTCATAAAGTCTAGATACTAAACAGGAAAGATCATCAAAACAATTAATATGAAAATGTTTATTGTTGCGGTGCCGAGATTACAGATCAGTTCCAATAACATTGCAAATTATTTAGATTTTATCAAATATCTCTAAATATATAGCAGAAGAACCAGACCAGATTTGACAGCAATATTCACGACATCGACAAATGATAGACGTATGTGTAAGATTCTGGTAATAAAAGTTGTCTAGCACGGCATGACAGAATCAACTTTCCTAGTAGCAGAGTAAGCAATTGAATCAATATAATCATTCCACTTAGCCCGGGAAATTACAATGAGTTACTATCCTGGAGGTTAGCAGCTGCCATGTTTCTGGAAGACAAAAAATGTTATCTAAGACGATTAAAAGTGATCAGTTTTATTTTGGAGGCGTTAAAATTAACAAAACATTTCTTGCCCCAGTTAACGAATTGTAAGCTATTTTTGAGATCAGCTGCTTATTTGACCTTATCAGACCAATGAAAATGGGGATTAAGACACGGTAAATAATTGTGCCATCAGCACAGGTAACGATTTGAGAACTGATGACATCGGGACGATTGTTGATGAAAATTAGGAACACCGTATCATAAAAAGGATTATGCGATACAAATGGAGAGGAATGTAGAGCATAAAAATGAAGGATAACAGTTGGAGCAATAGGTTGGTTAATTGTTGCGAAATGGATTAGAAACACAGTAGAAAACCAGATAAAAGATGTACAGATAGAAGAGATGGGTTTGTTGGTAAAATATAACAGAGATTATCAGTCAAGATCATCGTGGAGGATTTCAGAAATGTGATTGTCCAGCAGTGTACTGTTAGTGGATAATACCAATTTTCCCTGTTACTAATTCTGATTATGGCGCAGACGCTACTCCAAATATACGGGAGGGAGTAATTTTTTTGATTCACATTCTTCATCTATTTGATCCTTGTCAAGTCTCACAATAAAAGTAGCAGCTTTTTGCGACTACTGACTGCGAGGGCAAGGTAATCATCAGAAAAAAAAAATCTTCTCCGTCAAAAAACCAGAGACAATTGTTCAAGGTCACCGAAGACGAGACAGTGTTCCGGGCGAAGTGGATTTCAAATTTTTCGACGAAGAATTTGTGCTAAGTGAAAATAAATAACCTTGCCTGGAATTCGAACGCATTTCGCTGATTCTATTTACCGCGCTGACGACCATTACGTCACTTTGCACTTCTGTACAAACAAACCTGTATGTGCATGAAATCACTTAGGGAAAGTTACACTAGTACGTCGTATTCAGATCCTAACAAGGTGTGAGGCAAAACGATTTCGGCAAGGAAACAGCCAATTCTAATACTGAAAAGATTCTTGAAATATGTTTGAAAAGTGATAAAACTTCTAGAAATATGTGCGGATTCTAAAAGAACCCTTAAATGTAAACTAGAAGCAAATTCTAGTTTCGAGCATAATAATATAAAATGAAAAAAGAAGAAAATGGAATAATGTTTGTAAAACGAAAAGGAGACGGGAACTACAAAAACGAGGTAAAAGAATGAAAGTGAAGAACAAATGGGCAGTATCAAGGAATAAAATAAATCGTACCTAAATGACTTTGAGAGCGCGTGTGGAATAGAAAGTATGATCCGAAAAGAGATAAAAAGAAAAATGATCAAAAAAGAGCGCAAAAGAAGAGAAAAAGAGAATAAAGAGGAAAAAAGTTGAATGCAGAAAAATAAACGGTGATAATCAGAAAGTTTTGAAGATTAAATAAAAGGAGAGAAACTTGTTCAGGTACTGGGAATAGAAGGGAGAGTAACATAAAAAGTAAAGGTAACCATTTTGAAGAAAGAAAGAAAGAAAGAATGACAGACAAAATAAAAAGAAGGAACAAAAGAAGAATGAAAGTAAACGTTGTTTCATTAAGACGGATTATATATAAGGGTGTTTCATTAAGACGGATTATATATAAGGGTGTTTCATTAAGACGGATTATATATAAGGGTGTTTCATTAAGACGGAACAAAGTCAGAAGTAAATAAATCAGTGTTATTGGTAAAAATTTATTTATTTCTCTATTGGATCATGTTATTTAAGTCATGGCAATTATGTGTGAAAAATAATATCACCCAAATGTCCTCCAAATCTGAAGGAAAAAAAAAACTTATTAGACGCTTAAATTTAATTCACATTTAAAATCGGTCCAAGTTATTGGAACACCCTTTATGTTAAGGTAGAAAGAATAATTGACCATGTAAATACACAAAGGAGAAGAAGGAAAGACAGCGAGAGTGAAAAAAGAACTCGCGAAAGAGTATGTGAAGTAAATAAAAAAATGTAAGAAAGACAAAAAAAAAAAGGAAGAATGAAAAAAGAATGAAAGAAATAACATGCGAAAAAAAAAAAGAATGAAATAAAGTAAAAACAAAAGAAAGAATAAAAGAAATTAAGAAAATTAAAAGACCAAGTGAGGTACATAAGAAAGAATGACGTTAGAAAAGGAAAAAAAAATTTTTAGAAAGAACGTTACTCCGAAAGTAATGCTTCCCGTTTTATTATTTTGGAAATATGACAGAAGTTCAGCTTATCCTCCACGGACACATAATGTTATTTTTCTGGCTTCATAATTTGATTGATTTGTTTTTTTTTTTACGGTCTATCAACCATTTGAGGGTTACTTAAAGACGAAACATATAACAGCTTGTAAGAAGTTGCTTACCGTCACCGTTTTTCCTAAGCGGTTTCTCATCTAAGTACTGATCAGGTTCAACACTGCTTAACTTCGGTGATCAACCGAGAACCGCTGTTTTCAACGGGATTTGATCGCATTTAACGATACCCATCTCGCAAAATAATATCTGACATTAATGCCCTTGCGAAACTCATGTATGTTACCAAATTCTTCCATGCTAAGAAAAAAACGTAGCAATTAACATTTATTAAAGCTTGTTGGGCATTTACGGAGATCAAACAATGGATGTGAGCATAAACAGGCGATAGGTTATGTGTTTCGGTAGTGGCGACAACAATGTGTATAAACAAGCCGCTTTACAGACGACTGCACGGATATTAACGTACGAAATGAAGATCAGCTACGCAAAGCCAATGATGGTGACAATGTAGAAAACAATGTTTTGTTGCTGAAAATTTTCTTACAAAACAATGAACGGAGTTAGAATTCTTTTTCACCTTCCAACCTCTGTCTCTCTCACAGGTGGAATATAGCCAGTCTCTCACTACTCTATCGCTACTACCATGGAAAGTGCTCGGACGAACTGCATCTCCTGGTTCCAGTGGCGAGAAGTAAGTTCCACTCGAACACCTTCTTCCTGCGAACTACTGTCCTACAGACTCTTAAGTGGATGTTTCTCCACTCACTACAATCTTAACCTGTTCACATCTAGGTTTAACCGTCAACTCCCTCTCCTGTCCGTATAAACGTAACTCTCTACCCCGAGTGCGCCCTACTGTAAAAAAAGAAAAGAAAGTAAAACAACGTAGAAGAAATAGAAAAGAAATAAAGAAAGAACAACGAAAAAGCATGAGAAAGAAAAAAAAAGAAAAGAAAAAGATGCCGATGATAAAAAAAATGGAGAGGTTTCAAGTAGGTGAGATGAGGATGTAATGAATAAAAACAGAGATCCTTAAAACGATGACATTGATTAAATTAAAGGCAGAACTAGAATGAAAGCAGAGAAAATAATAAAATTAAAAACTTTCTTTAACAAGACGAAGATTTTGTACATATGTGTAGGCAAAAGGAAAAGAAATTGAGGCGGATATAAAATTAAAAAAAAAAAGTTTCAGAAAAATCGTGAAAACGAGAAAGAATTAAAATGCGGAAGGCTGTGAGAGACAGCGAAAGAGAAAAAAAAATTGCTTTAAATTTTAAAAAATAAAAAATAAATTACTGTAAGCTGTACATTGAAATTTCAACAACATTTCATGGTTTCGCGGCGTCAAAACGAGCGCTGTTGAAAAATAATCAATAATTTTGAACGGGATGAACCATAAACGATGTCTCGTCTCGTCTCATGACGACGGCGGGAAAACGGTAATGGCCGAACGGCATTACACTTTTTGTTATTCTTGTTGCTGCGAATAGCAATGGCAAGAGTTATTGGCCTTTGCTGTTGCTGCTGGGCGAAGGTGGAGACGCCTTCACCCGATGACGTCGCACGAGCCGAAAGCCTTTATTGGGTATTTAGTGTTGGAGGCTTTGTGAATTTAAGCTGTATCGTACGCACTTTAGTGTTACTATTTAACATCAAATGATTTTATTTGAAAGATTAAATCTTCCCTCGGGAGTCAGTTTTTTTTTAAAATTTTTTTTCCTTTTACTGAATTTTTCTTTTGACAAACACACATTTACGGCTGAACATTGACGAGAGCATATTACGCAACTAGTTCATTTGCATGTCCACAGGATTCAAACACACAAAAGCAGCGACTTCTTACACATATATCTCAAAGTAAATCCACACAGAATAAGGTGCAAGCTACACATATAAAGTTATGAGAAGAGAAAAAATTTAAAGTAATCACATCGCACAGATATGAACACGCTTACACACACGCGTACCTATATATATATATATATATATATATATATATATATATATATATATATATATATATAATGACGATTGCTTGAATACACGAATGCATATGTAATGAAATATATTCAAGGCATACGTTTTCGTAAATACAAATGCCCCTTAAGGACTTACGTCGATTATGACTCTCAATCGCTTTACTTTATTATCTACGAATTGACACGATTTCTTGGGAAAGGTAGTGGAGTAGTTGCACGTTACCTTCTTCGCGGTTTTGAATCCAGAGTTTCCCTCTTTATTGGCTGCCAACCAAACCTAGAGTGCCTGGTGTACTCTGCTTTTTAACCCGTGGCTGGAGGGGTAAGAGGACGGAATCCAGAAATTGAAGTAGGTGGACCATTTCCTCATCCCACAATTTACTATATATATATATATATATATATATATATATATATATATATATTTGTTTATTTTCAGTAACCCTCATGACATATATACATGACACGATATATAGAAATAAAAGAAAAATTTTTGTATTATATTTGGGACAAGATTGCTTTCATATATATCTAATAATACATGATTACACACAAACATACACGTATAAATACATGCACGCATGCACACACACACAGAGAGACAAACGCGCCCACGCATTTTATATATATATATATATATATATATATATATATATATATGTGTGTGTGTGTGTGTGTGTGTGTGTGTGTGTGTGTGTGTGTGTGTGTGTGTGTGTGTATTAACATTGTTCAAACCATATATATTAACGCATATACAGGTTTTGCATACATTTTCTGTTCCACATAGAACTATATATATATATATGTATATGCGTGTGTGCATATACACACGGATACACAACAATGCTCGCCAATGTGCTTCATTTGGGAACACACCTGTTCTTACCTGATTGATATGCTAACAGACACACCTGTTCACTTATTTTATATGCTCATTGCTATAAGCGTACGAGAGTGTGTCTCAGATATACATAAAAGTGTCACGGACACACGCACACGTATTTCCAAAGCAGATACACGGAAACTAACGTACACAAACAAACGCCTTCTTACATACATGTGTATTTGAATACACACGTGTGTACACTGATGGCGCGAAAATTCACTCGCACGTACTCGCCGCCTATGCGCACACACATACACAGGCGTATGTGCGAGGTAGTGACGAAAATGCTTTTCCTTCTCTTTTCCCATGTCCCTTGTCAATTAGTCCTCTTTCTTGCTTTCTCTTTGTCTTTCTCTTTCTTCGTTGTTGACGTACACACAAACACACATACTATTCTGCGTTCGCATATTCACACACGTTGATTTTTGTGTGCGCAGCCTTACACAGGACGATGAACTGTCAAAAGCAGACAAGTAAAAGACACATTTAAATTAACAAATAAACAGACATCCGCTTTTTTTTTTTTTTTTTTTTTAAATTAAATAAAAAAAACGCTTTTAATTTAAATTCGCCCGCAGACAACCATTCGTAGTCGCCCTCGTAGACATCACCTTGAAAACAGGTTACGACAAATTTCATCTAATGGGAACAACTATCAGATGATGAATACTGGTTTATTTTTTTGTAGGCCTTAAAAAGAAGTGCACAAAAATGTAAAATAAATTTTATTCAAATAAAAACAACCAATAGGAATTAGGATAAATAGGCGTGGAAAGAGAAAACCTATAGCACGCATGCGCAAAGCAAATACAAATATTTTATAAAACGTATATAAAAGGAGTTCTTAAAACAGAAGGATGGAAAGTGAGGATAAACATTTAAATAAAAAAGTAATTAATATGTTTTTTTGGTGTTTGCGTTGAATATTTGGTTTTAAGCTTTCAATGGCCATTCTGACGAAAAAGCGAAAAGCGTAAACTTTTAGAGTTGGATATCGAAAATAATAATAATTGTGGCAAAAGCAAACAGTGCTTTAACAAGTTTGCTCCTTTCCATCCTCATCTTCTTTCCTTTTTAAGTGTTTTCCCGATAGGAGTGATGTCGATGTACTAAATCAGTCACCTTTTGAACTGTCAGTAATGAGGGAAAAGTTTTTTTTTTCATCGTATTATTTGAGTGTTATTCCTTAAAATGAAACGGTCGCTTATCAAAGAATGTTTTTTTTTTTTTGTTTTTGTCTGGGATAGGACCATATCAATAATCAACAAATTCTTTCATAAGGGTCATAACGGCTCATGAAAGGCGAAAGCGCTCAGAATATTTTGGATAAGTACGGTTCGAATTGTTTAATTTTGAAAAGAATAATCGTCTGATCCATATAAACAGAAAGATATTTCGTTGGTCTTTAATGAAACACACACACGCACGCGCGCACACACACATACACATATACATACACATACACACACATTATATATATATATATATATAAATATAAATATAAAAGTGAACATAGAAGTCAACACTTGGAGGCGACAGTCTGTTTCATGCTCTATGCAATCGTCAGGCCACGAATGCATAGAGCATGAAACAGACGGTCGCCTCAAACTGTCGACTTCTATGTTCACTTTTATATTTACAACGCCTATCTCTGATATTGAGCATTTTATACCATAAATGTAGTACATCTTAAGACTATATTTTTCATATATATATATATATATATATATATATATATATATATATATATATAGGATGGTCTGAACATCGCATTCAAGCCTGAAACAGACAGTCACTACTTGGGGCCGACATCATGTCCACACACACACACACACACACATATATATATATATATATATATATATATATATATAATTATATATATTTATTTAAAAATAATATAAATATGTAATAAAATCACTAAAAATAGCCATTTTGTTTCAACACCCTCGGTGTCTTATCAAGTAAAACTTTTAAAACCATTTATTTTATCTTCAACATCATCATTGATAAGACACCGTGGTGTTGAAAACAAAATGGCTATTTTTGTAGTGATTTATAACATATTTATGTTATAATTTTTTTTTTTTATAAATAATAATTATATCTGCTCTACTTGTATTGAGCACTCTTTTAAGAATAGTAATTGTTGGTTATTGGAATTCATTCCGTATATATCAATTATATGCTTGTATATATATATATATATATATATATATATATATATATATATATATATATATAATTACATAGAATGAAGCTTAATTGTATCCCATTTTTATGGCTATTTCGCTCCCCTGGATAGATTCTCTGGTGTTTGTCAATATTAAAACGTTTGATCAAACGTT